CCTTCTATGGTATTCTCATCATCCTTCTGTAGAACCACATTTCTGTTGATTAAAATCTCTTCTTCATCTTTGAGGAAATGGCATTTACTATATATGAATATACAAAAACATTTTAATAAAACTATACGAAAAAGTGGCAGGGCGCCTGTGTCCATATGAGAAAACACAGGTTTTACTTTCTGCTAAGTTTCTCGCGATAAGCTTTACATTTTCCGGGGGCGGGGGTCATTTAGAACATAACCACATTGTAAAAAGATCTGACTGCGCCCAAAACAGAAATATTTTTGAATGTGGAATAAATTAGAAGAAAAACATTTGGTTGGACAAATGAAAGTAGTTTTTGTTCTGATTTCTCTTACCATTTTATCTTCCATCTCTCTCCCCTTCCATCTCTCTACCCTCTACCCTCTCCCTCCTTCTCTCTGCTCTCTCCTTCGACCTCTCCTCTCTCTCTCTCTCTCTCTCTCTCTCTCTCTCTCTCTCTCATTCTTTCTCTCCTCTCGCTTGCATTTTTTCTCTCCTCTCTCTTTATCAATGTTTTCCGTCTTTATCTTCTCTCTCACCCTCTCCATCTCTCTACTATCTCCCTCCATATCTCTACTCTCTCCTTCCACCTCTATACTCTCTCTTTCATTCTTTCTCTCCTCTCTCTTTATCAGTGTTTTCCGTCTTTGTCCTCTCTCTCGCCCTCTTTATCGCTCTACTCTCTCCTTCCACCTCTATACTCTGTCATTTATTCCCCCCTCTGACTTTCATTCTTTCTCTCCTCTCTCTCTATAAATGTTTTCCGTTTTTGTCCTCTCTCTCTCGCGCCATCTCTCTACTTTCTCTCTCTCTCTACTCGTCATTCTTTCTCCCTCTCTCTTTCATTCTTTCCTCCCTCCTCTTTATCGAGTTTTTCCGTCTTTGTCCTCTCTCTCTCGCCCTCTCTCTACTCTCACCTATCTCTCTCTCTCTTTCATTTTTCTCCTCTCTTTCTTTCATTCTCTTTCCCCTCTCTCTCTTTATCGTTTTTCCTTCTTTGTCCGCTCTCTCTCTCTCTCACTCTTTCTCTCTCTCTCTCACTCTTTCTCTCTCTCTCATTTGTCTCATATTTTCTCTTCACATTGACTTTATGCTCTTTATTCCAAACTCACTATATTTCCACTCTTTCAAGATTTCATGCCCCCTCTTTTTTGCTCCCCCTTTCCTTCCCTGTCTCAAAGTCTGTATCTTACTTTTTACTCTCCGTCCTCTCTACAAATACAATGTTTCTTCTTTCTTTTTTTTTTCATCGCGTCTTTGTTTTCCGTTTTCTGCTATCAATGCCAGAAATAATGAATTCATAAAAACGGCCAGAGAAAAAGAATAGCAATATTCTCAATTACGATACACGTCAAAATGTTTTCTTTAAGTGAAAAGTCGAAATTCCACGACTTAAAGGAAAATAAATCCTATTTCGATGTCGTTAAGATCTACGTTATGAATAAATCTGACCGTTATACTTTTATCGCGGTTGGAATAAATTGAAAATTATTCCGTTCTTCCTAATACGAAAAACATTCCAAGTACGTCTAAAAAAATATGGTGACCAACTTATTACAACAGCCAACAAAATTTAATATTTCAACTAAACATTTTGATCTGGCATCTCGTCTGCAGTCGCACTCTCACAGACGTGCCGTCACCCCCCTCTGTCTTTTTTACAAATACTTTCATGGTAACTGCTCTGATGAACTGCTTTCGCTGGTTCCCAAACTTCATGAATTTATTCTACTAGGCTGGCATCTCGCTCGCATCCTTTCAGTGTCGAAACTGTTAAATGTAACCGTCTCTTTTACTCCAATAGCTTCATGTCTCGCACCTCTCGCCTGTGGTAATCTCTCCCTTCTTCCTGTTTCCCTGATAGCTATAATCTCCAACTATTTAAATGTAATGTCAATCGACGTCTCCAGATGCCCTGATCTATCCCCTAACCATCTCTTCATCCTTTCCTCTATCACTTCTCTTTGCTCTCGCCCCCACTCTCTGTAACCCCTTGCGTGCTAGTGGCTTCCCGCCTTGCTTGGGGTGAAACGCAAAATAATTCACAATGTTGTTAACTGAATAAAAGATCTGAACACGTTCTGAGTGAACACGTCTGAAAATGAGAGTGTAAAGTTATTGTTATACACTAATACAAATTACACTGACGTGCCAAAATTCATGGGAAGCAGTGTGTTAAGGTAATGGGAGATGGTGCCAGTTTGACCTCATTGGAATGCCCAGAGCTCCTATATCGAAATGCCTAGACCTATATAAATTATGCTTTGACATTTGGTACGTCATTGTGAACACAAGCAAAGTGACATGAATTATTGAAGTTCAAACGGAGACTGTCCTTTACGCCATGACATCGTACACAACACCCAGCCTGGACTCGTGATTTCATCATTGGATCCTTAAAGATTGGCAACGTGCAGCATGGTCTAGTGGATCACGGTTCTAGTTGTTTTGGGCTGATAATAGGGTTCCGGTGTTGACCCGAACCCCATGAAACCATGGAGTTCAGTTGTCAACAAGCTAACATGCAGACTGGCGGCAGTATTCCATTTCTTCGATTGGAAGAACATCTTATGTGTTATGTATGTACCGGGAATATTTGATTGAGGGCATGGCCGCCTACTGTTGACTGCGCAGTAACTGGCAACGGGCCCCGAATGATCGAGACCAGGGCCATCTGGCTAGAACTGATTGTAGACAAATGGCTTTGCCTCAAATCGCATTCAGTAAAAGAACAATGTCAATTACACAGAAGTTCCAAAAGTCCCTTGAGTGGAGAATGTAAAAGTAATGGAAATGCCCAGAGCTCTTGTATCAATTGTGATCCTATTAACATTTACTGATTGATTGAAGGCCTGGCCGCCCACCGTGGACAATGCAGTGACCGACCACGGGTCGTTAAGGATCACGACCAGAAACTTCTGGCTAGAATTGTCTTTTACGACAGACATCTTTACCTCAAATCCTTTTCACATTAAATACAAGAGGTAACAGATAGATATCAAGCAGGTCTGTTTAGTGTTCTTTAGCTTCTGTGAGAATAAAAGAGTCATGTGCGTGACCCTACTAACACACTGAGCACGGTGTCCCCGACTGGTCTTGTGGCGTCTAGACAATAGGTCTAGACGCCACAAGACATGAGAGTAAAAGAGCCATGTGTGTGTCCTTACTAACACAACAACGCCGGCTACTTTGCCTCCATCTGGTGACGTCACTTATTGAACATTGGAAGACTGGAAACGTATGGATTAGATTTAAAAAGCCTCAGTTGTTATTAAGGCACCATGTAGAACATATTGGTCCCTATAGCTTTGATTGGCAACCAGTCTAGGAGAAGGAAAAATGAATTCAAAACCGTCTTGAGAAATCCAACCATCTGATGCTTTGTAGACCCTGCCTCTTTAGGCAAAGGCTAGAAGATAACTTCAAAAAGAAATTCATCTCGCATGTTGTCTCGAAAAAAGGAACTGCCCCCCCTACTTCGATCCGCGATAGAAAATAATCGACTTTTCGGGTTTAATACAATGGTGCGAACACTCACAAGACTCTATAGACCTTTCTGATTTTGGACAATTCACCCATGGGCGTATTATCTACGGCACTTTAGACACCGTAGGCTGGTGATGGTCCCATAATGGCTTGGCTGCGTCTAAACATACCATTGACCGCTATGCTGCACTATTTTGTGACCAATTGCATGCATACGTGTGGACCAACACCAATGAGTTATTATAATAGGATAATGCATCGTGTCATCACCACCAAGTTGCCCTGAATTGGTTTGAGGAACTCTCTGGAGACTTTGGATGAGTTGTATGGCTATTATGCTCGCCCAACATGAGCCCAATTGAGCATTTATTGGACGGGGTGAAGATTGAGTCTAAAAAAATCAGATAACAGAATAATATGTGCGTCTCTTTCATATCAAGCAGGTCTCTTTAGTGTTCTTTAGCTTCTGTGAGAAATGAGAGTAAAGGAGTCATGTGCGTGTCCTTTCTAAAACAACAACGCCGGTTCCTCCACCTTGTGACGTCACTAATTGGACCTTGGAAGACTGGAAACGTGTGGCTTAGATTTATGAGGCTATGGACTCCAGTTGTTATTAAGGCGCCATGTAGAACATATTGGGATGCCCAGGGCTTCTATATCAATAGTGCTCTGACATCTTATGATGCAACGTGAATATCAGCTACTACGCTATTCATAGCAAGGCGATGTGAATTATCAAAATGCGAATGAGGCATGATAGTTGGTACCACACGGATGGGACATTTGATATGCCTTGATTTTCGGGATGTTGTGTTTAGCGGGAGTACTCGATTGAAGGCCTGACCGCCCACCGTGGACAATGCAGTGACTGGTTAGAATTGTCTGTTACGACAGACAGCTTTGCCTCAAATCCTATTCAGATTCAATTTGGGAAGTAACAGATGCATATCAAACAGGTCAGTTCAGTGTTCTTTAGTTTCTTTGTGATATGGTCGCTGAAAACACACCCGAGTGCCCATCTTGACGCCATGACATCGTACACAGCGCCTACCCTGAACTCGTGATGTATCTAATTGGATCCTAAAGGATTAACAACGTGCAGCATGGTCCAATGGATCACGGTTTCTATTTGTTTGGGGCTGATAATAGATTTCCGATGTGGACCCAAACCCCATGAAACCATGGACTTCAGTTGTAAACAAGCTAACATGCAGGCTGCTGCTGGTGGTAGATGTGGTTCCATAATGACAAAAGCTATATTCACGTAAAATGGACTGATTCCACTCCTTACCGATGACCGCTACGTTGAGCTGCTTCAGGACATTGGGTAATTGCAGCAGGATAATGCACTCTGTTTATCGGACCCATGTTGCACAGAATTGACTTGAAGAGCACTCTAGAGACAAATGGTGTGGCCACCACGTTCGCCTAGCATGATTCTCGTGAAGCATTTATGAGACGTGTTAGAAAATTTGGTTTCTATAATTAAATTGAAGTTTTTAGCTTCTGTTTTTAAAGCATGAGAACTCTTATGTAGCGATGGAATCATATTTTTAAAAAAAATAATTATAATATAGGTTCTACTTGTGTATTGAGCACTGTTTTGTAAAAATAAAACAAAAATACTAAAGAACTTCGGATTATTGACCTAACAGTTCTTTCCTATTTTTCTATTTGTTTGCATACACACACAAACACATATATATATATATATTGCTCTACGTTGTATTGAGCACCTAAGAGCTGTGGATTTGTTCTTTGTCTTTTATATATATGTTACCACGAAATGTATCTTTAATGTATTAGACATCCGACAACATTCATATTTCCCCCTTCCACTCACCTCTATTAAAAAAAACCCCTCTCTGTTAAGTTCTAATCTCCCACCTTCTCTCGTCTGTTACCCCTCTCTTTAACTCTAACATTCGTCCCACACTCTCATACTTACACTCTCTCTAAATACTATTTTTATTTCCGGAGTTGTTTTTTTTTTTTCTGTTTTCTTTTTTTAATTTGTATGTCTGATGAATTAGATCGTATTTACGATTCCAATGGAATAAATTATGACCATGGAATATTAGTGTTTAAGCCTTTTTTATTATATATATATATATATATATATATATATATATATATATATATATATATATATATAACCAATTCACCTGTTTATTTGACTTCAGCCTTCCATGTATCAAATATGTATAGCAATCGTAGATACTCTTCTTACATCACTGTCGAACATAACTGATAAAATGGCACTCCGCTAACAACAATAAAATATTTTTTTCGTTCTTTCATTTCTGAATAATTTTGTAATAATATTAAACTTGATGCTCGGTTAACTTTAGAATCTGACATTTGTAATTTTTAATTTTAAATTTAACTGTGAAATTAAAACTTTATTTGTTATATTGATTTCTAATTTAATGCCATCTTAACTTTAATGTACTTATAGATTGAACTTAATGTCGTCACGTCATTTTGAATTACCATATATTTGTATTCTTATTGGTCATCATCATAGATTACGTAACAATATTTCCCCTACTGAGAGGATTTGGTTGTTCTTTGAACTATTAAAACCCTTTATTTTGCAATCAACATTATCACTTGATAGTGTTGAAACAAAATTGCAATATTTGTAGTGATGTTATAACATGCATATGTCATGATTTTGAATAAATATATATGAATGTCATCATTCGCTTTAAAATAGACACTCCGGCCCTTACCTTGACTTGACCTCTTTCCGAAAGTAACTAGTATGTTGATAAAATGTTAACCCTTACGCCCCTTATCAAATTAATTGCTTCAGCCGTTTCCATAATAATTAATATTACGAATGAATATGCTCATGAAGCTGCGTAAATTTCAAGACTAGTCATTCCAAAAATTTTGCTTGAACATGAAACAGGGCTTGATAATTTAATTCAATTTAATTTTTATAATTGAAGTTTTTAGCTCGTATTTTTGAAACATGTGAACTCTTATGTAGCGATGGAATCATATTTTTTAAAATAATATATATATATATATATATATATATATATATATAATTGCCTTGATAAAGTCCCTCGGAGGACGAAACGCGTCGATTAAGTATAGTTTTTCCTCCTCTCTCTTTATATATAATAATATATAATTATTATAGTTTCATATTGTCTCTTTATATATAATAATATATAATTATTATAGTTTCATATTGTCTCTTTATATATAATAATATATAATTATTATAGTTGACTTGTTTGTGCGTCCCTGCGCCGATATATTGCGATTTTTTTTTCTTTTAGACATTTCTAGATTTCTTTGCATAATTAATTCGAACAGTCTGCTAGAATTGTACCAAAAATATTGTCACCGGGCGTCACCAGTGCAAGGGGAGATAATTAGTGATTTCGGCGCTGCATTTACGACATTAGAACTTAACAACAATAATTTCTCAGGAATCAAGAGATTCTTTATCCGACATTACTTCCTACTACTGTAAATCTTCTTTTGTGGATTTCAAAGTTTGAGTAGATGCCATTTTTTTAACAATATGAATGACGGCTACCGGCCTGCGCAATCGAGTGACTTTATGTGCTCCCCAGCTGAATTCGAAAATGTGCCCCTGTTTGTATAAAAAAACATATAAATACAGCGTTGGTATTAAATCTCTTATTGTCCTTAGTTTATAAAATTGTTTTATTTGTATGTAGCAGAGGTGGGGATACATTCAGTATAGATTTCGAGACTATCCTCAAATTCAGGCGTCTGTTGGTGATGGCGGCTTGGTCCATCGTGCCCCTCCCAGCGAATAAGTGGAGACTGGTGTCTCATTCTTCCTTCTTTTTCTTTTTTTTTCTATTCTTTTCTCCTTTTCCTCTTATCTTACGTCCTCTCTTTCACTCTTCATATTCTCTCTTTCCTAGTCTTTCTATCCCATTCACTAATTGTCTCTCCTCTCTCACCTCTTCTTAAATGTCTTATTTTTTACTCCTTATCCACTCACTCTCTACCTCCTTACATTCTTTCTTTCTCACTTTTTCCATTCTCTCTATCAGATTTACACCCTCTCACTCGCACACACACATTCTTTCTGTCCTCCTTTCTCTCTCTCAATTCTTCCATTATTACATTTGTCCTCTCTCTAATTTCGTTTATCCTCTCTCTCTTTATCAATTCACTTTCTTACTTCGCCCATACTCACTTGCATTTTCCCTCTCACTCATTTCAACCTTACTTCCATCCTCTCTGTCTCCCACACACCTTTGAACTTCTTTCATTCCCTCTACCCTTTTTTTCTCTCTTATTCCCGTCTGTTCACAAGACTTTTGTTCTTTTTTTCTTTTCCCTTCTTCCTGATTTTCATTTTGCCACTAAGGAAAAAAATAAGTGTGGAGTAATTGATAAGGCGTTGCTTTCCTGTTTGCGCCAAAATTCAAAACTAACTGAAATTCCCATTTGAGAAACTAATCTTTGACTTTTCACTTATTTTCTCCTCAAACATTAAACTGTTGGTGAAGAACCAAAAACGAAAATGACAAATATAGAAAAAGAATAAAGAGGACAAAGAAGCAGGGAAAAATAGACATGAAGAGACTGAGATAGATAGATAGATAGATAGATAGATAGATAGATAGATGAATGAATAATGACAAGACTGAGATAGATAGATAGATAGATAGATAGATAGATAGATGGATAGATAGATAGATAAATGACAAGACTGAGATAGATAGATAGATAGAATGATATAGATAGATAATGACAAGACTGAGATAGATAGATAGATAGATAGATAGATAGATAGATAGATAGATAGATAGATAGATGAATGATAATAATGACAAGACTGAGATAGATAGATAGATAGATAGATAGATATGGATAGATAATGACAAGACTGAGATAGATAGATAGATAGATAGATAGATAGATAGATAGATAGATAGATAGATAGATGGATAGATAATGACAAGACTGAGATAGATAGATGAATAGATAGATGGATAGATAGATGGATAGATGGATAGATAGATAGATAATGACAAGACTGAGATAGATAGATAGATGAATAATGACAAGACTGAGATAGAAAGATGAATAATGACAAGACTGAGATGGATAGATGGATAGATAGATAGATGGATGATATGATAGATAGATAGATGGATGGATGGATACTGACAGACTGAGATAGATAGATATAGATAGATAGATAGATAGATAGATAGATAGATAGATAGATAGATAATGACAAGACTGAGATAGATAGATATAGATAGATAGATAGATAATGACAAGACTGAGATAGATGGATAGATAGATAGATAGATAGATAGATGAATAGATAGATAGATAGATGAATGAATGAATGATAGATATAATGACAAGACTGAGATGGATAGATAGATAGATAGATAGATGAATGAATGAATAGATAGATAGATAGATGAATATGAATAATGACAAGACTGAGATAGATAGATAAATAGATAGATAGATAATGACCAGACTGAGATAGATAGATAGATAATGACCATACTGAGATAGATAGATAGATAGATAGATAGATAGATAGATAGATAGATAGATATGACCAGACTCAGATAGATAGATTATCTATCTATGCCACAGAAAGATATGAAGATAAATATGAGGATTTATAGGAAGATAGGTATCAAGATAGATAGATATGAAGAAAAATATGAAGATAGGTAGATATATAGATAGATATGAAGATAAATAAGGATTTATAGGAAGATAGATATCAAATAGATAGATATCAGGATATGTATATAGATAGATATCAAGATATATAGGAAGATAGATATCAAGATATATATCAACATAGGAAGATATCTATCAAGATAGATATCATCATGTCTATCAACCTTGCCCCACTGACCCATGACTAGCCTTGTGAGTTCGGCCTATTGAGTCTCTGTTAAGAATGGTAAATAAACAGCATTTGTATGTCTTGATGTTTAGTCATTGTTAAACATTTAGCCTCATAGACCATAGCTACTAAAAAAAAGTATTGAACCTTCCTGTGTACTCCCTATTTATAGTTTGTGCTATACTTACTTAAGGTTACTCAATATTACCTTGCTGTAAAACATTAATAAGTTACAATTAGTAAGTATTGTTATTAGGTAATGAGTTTGATCCTTACTAGATTCTTCATACTTTAGACCTTCTACCATACAAACTGAAGCTCAGTATGGATTATTTTCTTAGCAATGTGAGGGCCGGTCTCTGCTGATTGAATGGCAACTATTAGTTTTATTGGATTTTATAATTGAAGAGCTGGAGTTATCTCCCTTGAAGTGACTTTTTTTTTCTAGTCAATTTATATGATGTAAGTAAAAAGGCGGTAAAGAAAAATTTCAAGTTGAAAATTTGGTATGTTGTCAGCTGTGACCGTTAAGGTTTTCAAACTTACATCTCAATTTGTCGCCTTCCGATTGGCTGTCTGACTTATGATGTAATCACTTACCATTATTTCGACTTTTTTCCCACAACATGATTTGTCATTATTGCCAAGTTGAGCAATAAACAAGGCCCACTTATGTCTACTTTAACGGCTAGCAAGATAAGATGGAATGGTGTCATTTGTAACCACACACACACACACCCAATAAGAGATGAGGGATGAGGTCGGATTTCACTTAAAATCTACTTTTGCCTTATACCACCACCACCACCAGCAGCACTACTATTACTACCAACTACCGACAAACATTAGTAGTGACTAATGACATAATTTTATGATTCATATTCCACATTGCCAGTGCTGAGGGGCTTTTAAAGTTGTCCTAGAAAGAAAAATCACGTTTTTTCCTAAGAATTTTCTTACCAGAATTAAAATAAACAAAAATACTTTTTCTGTTTAAATTACACATTTCAAAGTATAGCAAATATTGAACAAACTTATTGAGGTGCACACACACACACACACACACACACACATATATATAAATCATTTCACTTTAAAATATATATATATATATATGTGCGTGTGTGTGTGTGTGTGTGTGTGTGTGTGTGTGTAACAGCCAAATTGACCAAATCATGTAACAACAAAATTGCCCAATTTTTAGATTAAATTTGAACTATTGTATCTTATAAATGATTAACAATATCTTACTGGAATTCTCCAAGGTTTTTATAACACTATTGGACTCTACTTTGAGCAATAAGAATTTATAATTACTCTCTTAGTTTAACAGAGGAAGCTTGATGAAATCGATCATAAACAAAAATGACATGTTCCTCATTAATTAATCATAGCTAAGGATCAGATGCTCATGAAGGATTGAAATAAAATTCAAATATATATATTGCCACCCCTATTGCAGAGCCAGCGTTGCTGAGCAGACCTTAGTTACAGTTTCTGAAAGTGAGCGTGTTATCTAGGGTGTTCAACAATTTGAACAAGGCCAGCACACTCACATCCTCAGCCACGATAACTTGTGACTTTGTGCAAGCACAGTTATCAATGGTCCTCTGCATGTTCCATCTGCCCAATTTCACTCACAAGGCTTGGGTCAGCCCATGGTATGATTTTCAGGCACTTCCCAAAGGTGCCACATGCTCGGATCATCCCCCTCCAAACTGATAACATCAGGAAATTTCCTTCCTGACAAATCAAATGTGGTGAGATTCAAACTTGGGTCTCATGAACAGAAAGCAAATGTTCTAATCACTCAGCCATGCACCCATATATATATATATATATATATATATATATATATATATATATATACACACATATACACACATATATATATATATATAGTCAACTCTCCCGTCGATTTCAACGTATGAGGGTCAAGCAGATCAGTTTCCAGGAAACCGACAGCCCGACAACGACACATGAGATTTGATTATAGTGGTGAAGGCTTCATGCAGGACCATCCACACTTTTTGAAGGACTGAATACAGAGACGTGGTGCACTAAGTGCCACAAGGTCCCCAAACAACCCTCCGCAGGTTTTGAATTCAGAGTTGTCCAACTCCTAGACCAGTTGCCATCCAAGGCTATAGAGCCAAGTCTGTCCTACTATTTTACCCATAGCTGGAGGGAGAAGAAGAGGATTCATACCTTTCCCAAGGGTATTAGCACGTAAGTGAATGTAATGGATTCGACTGGAATTCAAACTCAGCTCTGCGATTCCTCAATCCAAGCCGCTATACATTACTCCACCATGCCTCCTATATATATATATATATATATATATATACACACACACACACACACACACACACACAGAGGGTGATTAAAAAGTAACTCCTCATTTTAAAATGCTTACAAGAAATGGATCTGAGAGGAAAGTGTTTGGCATGAGGTTTTGTTTAAAATTCGATGTAGACACCAAATTTCGCTATCAGATTCTCAAGCTGGCCAGGAACTCTTGTGGTATGGAAGACATAAATTATTGTACTCACCCTTCAAGTTCTTTCAAAGTCTTTGTTTGGTATAACGGACATGCTGCTTTGACCAGTTCCATAGAAAAAGTCACAGGGTATTAAATCAGGACTCTTGCCCACTAATACATTAAATAGGGAGTTACTTTTCAATTACTCTGTGTATATATATATATATATATATATATATATATATATATATATATATATAAATCATTTTCACTCAATATACATATATATATATATATATGTTAAGAAATGGACGAGGTCCGACAATTTATTTATTAAAGACATTTTTATTTATATTTAACGTTTATCTATAAAATAACAACGTTAAAACATAAATAAAATGTCTTTAATAAATATATATATATATATATATATATATGTATATATATATATTAATTCATAATAACATATACATATATATATATATATATATATGTTAAGAAATGGACGAGGTCCGACAATTTATTTATTAAAGACATTTTATTTTATTTTAACGTTTATCTATAAAATAACAACGTTAAACATAAATAAAATGTTTTAATAAATATATATATATATATATATATATATATATATATATATATATATATATATATATTAATCATTTCACTCAATATACATATATATATATATATATATGTTGGAAATGGACGAGGTCCGACAATTTATTTATTAAAATACATTTTATTTATGTTTAACGTTTATCTATAAAATAACAACGTTAAACATAAATAAAAAATGTCTTTAAAAATATATATATATATATATATATATATATATATTTAATCATTTCACTCAATATACATATATATATATATATATGTTAAGAAATGGACGAGGTCCGACAATTTATTTATTAAAGACATTTTTTTTTTTATGTTTTAACGTTTATCTATAAAATAACAACGTTAAACATAAATAAAAATGTAAAAATATATATATATATATATATATATATATATATATAAATAAAAGAAAGAACAGTAAGATATAAAATCCGGTGTTCTTATAGATATTTTATTTTTACAAAATAATTAAAATGTAAATTAAAATTCGCTTGAAGATGAAATAGAACTAATGCTTTTAATTTATTTGCAAAAATAAAATTAGGGTTTTTAGCTTCTATTTTTGAAACATGGTTGGAACTGTGTGGCGAAAATAACCATATTTTAAATCAATTAATTTATAATATATATATATATATATTAATCATTTCACTCCAATATACATATATATATATATATATATGTTAAGAAATGGACGAGGTCCGACAATTTATTTATTAAAGACATTTTTATTTATGTTTAACGTTTATCTATAAAATAACAACGTTAAACATAAATAAAAATATCTTTAATAAATATATATATATATATATATATATATATATATATATATATGTATATGTTATTAAATTATATATGATACTAATGAAAGACCAACTCTAAGTGATTACAATTTATGGAACTCTGAGTTAATCTTCAATAAGTATTGAATGTCATTCTCTCTATTCTAATATTCAGCGCTGTATTTGCAAAAACTCTGTTAAATTTGATATACATCAAATCATATAATTTTACATATATTAATTGCTAGTATTAAGCACTAACATTTCATATATAGGAGTATAGGATTGGTGTACATGGAATAAATTCCAATAACCAAAAACACTATTCTTAAGAGTGCTCAATACAGAGTAGAACAAATATTATTTTTTCAAAAATTATAGCATATACATGTTATAACATCACTACAAAAAGAGCCATTTTCTTTCAACACTTCCGGTGTCTTATCAAGTGATGGTGTTGAATGTAGAATAAACTCTTTATTCTACATTCAACATCATCATGATCACTCAGAAGAATGAAACAAAATAGCTATTTTTGTACTGATTTTAATTTATGTTTATGCTATAATTTTAATAAATAATACAAATATATATATATATATATATATATATATATATATATATATCCAATTGCAAAAGAATGAAGAGTAAGATTTCAGCGTTCAAAATATTAATTTAAACAGGGACAATACAAAAGTAGAGCTGTATATATATTTATTTATTATGCAGTGTTACATTAGAATATGCACATACCCACTTTAAAAAAAAAATTTAACATTGAAACAAGATGTACAATTTTGTATATGTGCATGTTCTAATGTGACACTGCATAATATATAAAATGAAAGAACAGTAAGATATATAATCTGGTGTTCTTATAGATATTTTTATTTTTACAAAATAGTGCTCAATGTAAATTTACAGAGCATTAATATTATAAATTAATTGATTTAAAATATGTTTTTTTTTATACACAGTTCTAACCATGTTTCAAAAAGGAAGCTAAAAGCTTTGAATTTAATTTGTAATTAAATTAAAGACATTAGTTCCATTTCATCCTCAAGCGAATTTTGGAGTAACTTATTTTTAAAATTACTGGGTTTTAGATGCACAGCAAAAAAATACAGTGAAAAAGAACATGCAAACACCCCTTGTTTGGATGAATGGATTTCTCTGTATCCTTGGAAACGTGAATTATGATTTTTTACTTAAACAAGTTTTGTTAAATTCAGCAGACAAGATTTGACTCACTAATTGTGCCAAAGATGTTTTGTTTTGTCATTTTCTAATTTTCTTAATAATTCCAATAAATACCTTAAATTTATCATTTATTACAAAAAGTTTGAAACATCTGTTAAAAATATAAATTGCCAGAACATATCACTTATTAATTCCAATAAAAGCCTTAAATTTATGATTTACTATAAAAAGTTTGAAACATTTGACCAAATCTTTACCAATATCTCAGGACCTAAAAATCCCTCTGTATAAAAACAATATGATCAAAAAAAACATTAAATATTTACATTGACTACATAAGTATCACCCTCTCTCATAGGTTATTTTGTCATTTAAGACTAATCTTAATAAATAATTCCAGAATATTGTACAGTACTCACTGTAAGGAAAGACACAGGATACATGAAAGTATTATTATACAAAAGAAATAACCAGCATTAAATAAAATGTCTTTTCCTATAAAAGACAGTATTTTA